GGGCGCGCGCGCCCCGTTTGCGCAACGTAGGGAGAACCCTGGCGTCGCCCCGCGCGCACACTATGGGTCAAATGTTGAAACGTTTACCACCTCGCGGTCGATAATGCATCACTTTTAACATATATATAGAGAGATCGAGGTTGGTAGAAAGAAGAAAACCCGCCTAGTTGCCTGCATGAAGTCGATAGTGTAACCCAGCTTTATATGAGTAACCAAGGATAAACACTGCCAAACTATAAAAGAATCCCCATATCTACTAAATGCATTTCAAAAGCCAATTGACTGGTACGTAGTAGATTTGGTACCAGAACATGTTTTTAAAACACATATTCATTAACAATAATTAAGGTACACCGGTGGTTAACGTCATTTATATTATCAGAAGTGAATAAAAAATCTGGTTTTATTTATCCTGACATTATACTTATATTGTAGCAGATATATGTTCTGACATCCAAAAACATCTACTGAGCAAATTTCAGAATATAGGAAACGTAAAATGTTCCCCTGTGCTAATCTCCTAAAGACAGATGCAATCGCACGAGATCGTTGGGCTTACTTTCAATGTCGACGAGGTCTGTTGCAGATCGAATTGCGTGATATTGCAGATGATGGCCGTCTTTGCATTGCCACCCAGACTATTCTGCAGAATGCGAGTCAGCTTAGAGTTGCGGAAGTTGATGTGCCTGCAATAAATGTATCATAGGGAATAGCGTTAATAATTACACGTGATATGTCTGTATGTTGCAGGTTCTTGGGACGACTAGCAGAGTGCATACATTTGTGCGTGCATTGGTGAACTGGTGAATATCACTAGGAAAAAAACTACTCGGGTAATACCACTGGGCGAATAAATGAATAACGTGATAACATATTAATTTCGTCAGGGTGAGTATCATACGAGGTTCACGATTTACCGTTCGCCCGTAATCATCATGTAGCGATGCAAAAAGGATGCGAACGAAAGTTGGACAGGGAAAGGTGGAAATGTAGACTACGAGTTACAGTAGCATACGCACGGTAGAGAACTTAATTTGGGACGTGGGGATTAGATATATACGACTGATGATTACAAGTAACTATTTGCATTTTGCTAATGCTATAACTAAAAATGTTGGTACTCGCTAACACGGCTGAAACCACCAGCTCGGAGGGCCGGTGTTTTGCCGATGTTACTGGTCCTCCAAATAATTTGTCGGCCTATACCCGGTGGGCCGGTGCTAATTTCGCGCCCTGCGTGAATGTAGTAGTACGTACTCTGCTCCCTTGCTGAGTTGTGAAATGACCTCAGACAGCTGGAACAGGGAGGCGTTGATTGAGCAACCTTCCTTCAGTCGTTCTCCCATCGCGCCGGTCTGGTTCGCACGTTCGGAGCCGGCCAGATCGACAAAGTTCAGGTGTGCGACGCTCACTACGCCGGTACCCTCCTCGTCGTTGGCCCGTGACTCGATGATCTAAGCAGTGAGACAAAGCGTAAAGGCTCCCGCACACGGTGAGATTCGTGCTGAGCACGGAGCATGCGTTTCGTGCTCAGCACGAATCTCACCGTGTGCGGGGTCGATTTAAGTGAGCTGTCGGTCTCGTGAGGCGACGAGGAAAATATGAGGAAAATATCTGTCGTGTTTGATAATTTTGGTCTCGCGAGGCTAAAAATTCAGCGTGAGACTCCTGCTGAGCACGAAACTCAGTTGCGGCGCATTTTGATTGATTCTCACTCAGTGGTGGCACATTTTGATTGGTTCTGCCATTTTGATCAGTCACATGACCTACAGTGGCACCCGCTGGTAAGATCCGTGCTCAGCATGAACCTCACCGTGTGCGGGGGTGTGAGATTCCTGCTGAGCACAAAACTCACTCTCCATGCTCCGCACGAATCTCACCATGTGCGGGGTCCATAAGCACTACTATAACACGGCTATAGTGGTGTCGCCCTTGGCAGTGAGGCGACTGTAGTGTGTCTATTTTCACGTGCAAACCCGTAGTGAAACACGTGTATACACAATGAGCTATTCAGCCAGCGTAAATCCAGGGACTACGGACTAAATAAACATTTTAGAGAATCATCAAAATCGAAAAAATTGAGGGCAAGAAAAATGTCGCCTTGTGATGAATCCGAATTTTAGGGCACCACGGCAAGTTGGAAGGGGCAACAAGAGAAACATTTCCTTCAAAGAAGGATTATATCAATGCAACCTGTGTCTTAAGAACACGGTTTTCAATACCGCAAACCACAACCGCGTGTCATATCCATCTTCACGAAGGCTTCAAACCATTCCTCCAGTGAGCTGTCATTTTGTCACGATCTTTGGATATTGTTTCTTTTTTGCAGTGGCTATGCGTCCGGTCATCAATTATAAAACTCAGCACAGATTCCCAAATCCACGTCACGATTAGGCCACGCCCCCTTTCAAATCGTTGATTTTATCGGATTTACTATTGTTTCAAAAGTTACAAAAACACATTTTTTTGATAAAATACCTAAGGGTAAGTAATATTATGGTAAAAACTTATTGTTTATTGTTTTTTACTAAAAAAAATATAGTTGGGTTCACATAAGAAATATATATGACCGGACGCGTAGCCTGGGAGCTGGACGCGTAGCCACAGCCTTTCTTTTTACGCGAGCATAAACTGCATTAGGGATTCGCCGGAGCCGCAGACTTACGATTCTGAAGATGGTGTGGGAGCGGCTGCTACGATCGTTCATGTTTGTCGCGCCCACACGCCGGTACTTCTCTCCTTCTCGCAGGAAGCCCATAATCTGGTCGTAACTGTTTGTGAGTTCTTCACACAAATTGCTTACATAAACCCTGCCAACCTCCTGCAAAAGGTATATTCATGTGTATAACACAGAGGGGCATCCGGAGTTGGCCATCAGGAAGGGCATCCGGCTGTAAAACTTCTGCTCCAAAACCATTCCATGAAGGAATAAAACTGTCCAACCCCGAAAGGGAAAACGGACATTAAACTGATAATAATAATAATAACACAGAGAGGCCAAACGACAACACCAACACAGATGGCAGCAGCGTGGCATCGTGCTTCAGATGGAAAATTTCTGGTATCTAGCACTAAACTCAGGAACCAATGAGTACAAGATGTAACCCTGTACCGGCGCATTTGGACGCTCGCCCGAAACTGGACGCTCCTAAGTGCGCATGCGCGCAGGCGCCTCTTGTTTTGCAAGGGCGCACACAGCGCATGCGCAATATGCGCAGTAGTCTACTACGAGCGTCCAAATACGCCGGTACACCGGCGTATTTGGACGCTCGCCCGAAACTGGACGCTCGAGTCATAAATTATACTCCTGATAATGTTAATAATAATGTTAATAATAATGTGAGGAGGAGGAGTAGGAGGGGAGGAGGAGGAGGAGGAGGAGAAGGTGTTGGAGTAGGGAAGAGGAGGAGGTGTTTGAGTAGGGAGGAGGAGGAGGAGGAGAAGGTGTTGGAGTGGGGAGGAGGAGGAGGTGTTTGAGTAGGGAGGAGGAGGAGGAGGAGAAGGTGTTGATAAGGAGGGGAGGAGGAGGGCATGAGAAGGCGTTCTACTCAAACACCTCCTCCTCCTCCCTACTCCAACACCTTCTCCTCCTCCTCCTCCTCCTCCTCCCCTCCTACTCCTCCTCCTCACATTATTATTAACATTATTATTAACATTATCAGGAGTAGAGTTTATGAGCGTCCAGTTTCGGGCGAGCGTCCAAATACGCCGGTGTACCGGCGTATTTGGACGCTCGTAGTAGACTACTGCGCATATTGCGCATGCGCTGTGTGCGCCCTTGCAAAACAAGAGGCGCCTGCGCGCATGCGCACTTAGGAGCGTCCAGTTTCGAGCGAGCGTCCAAATACGCCGGTACAACCCTAGAAGAAGTAACGATAATTACTAATGATGATTGATAAATTACTAATGATAAGTTCTAAGAAGTAAGAACGAGTAACAGATGTTAGAAATTCTCATAAATGACAGCTTTCCTTAGACTATTACTCGTTAGGTGGCATCGATTACGGTACAGGATGCATTGCGCTGACGCCCACCCTCTGGATACCCACCGGCAACTCATAGAAACTTACATTTTCGTGTATGGTAAGCACCTCCTTCTTTCCTTTCGAACGGAGAAGGTCTGACAGTGACTCGTTGTATATCTCCAGGTAAGACACACGAACGAGGAACTCCCTGTTTGGCTCCTGTGATACGAAATCGTGTCTCATTGATATAAAATCACACATCACAGGGGCCACCATACACCTTCAACGTCCTTCACGTCTTCTAGTTCACCGCCAACCAAATTCTACAATGCTACATTAAAGGAAACCCCGGATTAATGGACTCACAGTCTATACTCACGTGATTCATGTAGTCAAACATCTCCTTGACCGCACAGGGTATAACACCACATGTGGTGTCACTTCCCATCATAGTGTAAGTCTTACCAGTGCCTGTCTGCCCATATGCAAAAATCGTTCCTGAAACACAACACATGAAAAAATAAAAAGCAGCACTAAACACAATTATATTCTTAGCTGTAAAATACCCATGCATTTAGACATAGCATGCAAAAGCTAACTTAAAGTTGGATCATTTGGGTAATATATAAAGGAGGCAGGTGTAATTTATTTTTCAAAGCCTTTTATGCTTTATACACTCACCATTTATTCCCTTTACAGCACCCTGTACGATAGGTTTCGCAACATTCTCGTATACTGTATTAGTCGAGTCTATGCACCCAAACACACGGTCTGCAATGACAGAATGTTCATATATGTATACTGCTGAAAAGTGTACGCTACATGTGTATATGGCTTAGCAGATATGCCTTAGACACTTACTCTATCGAAGAAAGATAGTATATAAAATGTGTCATTCCAATAAAATTTCAATGTGAAATAATCAATAGATAAGTGTGTTGCAGCTGTGAGAATAATACAATCAAATACATAATACATTACTATCAATAAATGACTGTTTCTTGGAGCTATCTATAAATGAAAATGAATGCTAATTATAACACAGTGCTTTATTTTTATCTGACAATGCTCGGTTGGCAATGTTGTCCAGCAGAACAAGCATTGCAAAAGCTAACTGCACGTATATGCACTTACCAAAAGTGTAACGCTTTCCTTGGGTTTCTGAAAGTGATGCTATTGTCTGCGAATCCAAGACTTTCCAATAGTCCCCCGTTTGACTATCAGCTTCCCTGTTTACATAATAAAGAGGTATGTATAATTATAATAATATTATAATTATCTGATTTCACACCAACCTGCTAACAGTGCAAAACTTCATTATAACTATAAGTGATATGTGTTTCCAAAGAATGAGGATAATGCTTTACAATAAAATTGTGCCATACACACACACACACCCATGTCGTTTTTATACATAAATAACACAATGTTTCATCATGTATTTTTATCAATCAGTCAATCAACAAAATGAATAAAAAATCCTTTGTACTGTGTTAGTAATCCCCTTACAGGTGTCAGTCACCTACACAGATAGACATGACTTAGCCTTCTACACACACAGCAAATTGCTTTGCATCAAACACATTAATCACCATCACCAATACTGCACGACTATGAGAACAAAAAATCAGTGCTGAGCCTAAAAACATTCTATTTTGTTTGTCATCTTTTATTTTATCGCACGAAGCTTGGCACAGCTTAGAATTTAATTTAGAGTGACCAGTGCATCTTTAGTTAGTTAGTGTGACACCAAAATTACAGCACAGCTTCAATGCAATAATACAACAATGTATAAGTAATACCCCACATTCTGTAAGAGGCATTCTATAAAAACCGTTTGTAATGTGAAATTCCATAACATGAATCATTGTGTCTCATTGACATCCAATAGATAATTGGATATACATGTGTGTTCCTACAAAAGGCTTCTTAGCCAAAAGAAGTAGGTAATTCCCATATATTTCCCCTAATACAAGCACATTTATAAACGCAACTGCACATTGGCGAACACATATATTGACTATTTTAATGATGTACTGCACACTGATTGTAAATGCACAATTATGAGTACACCGACAAGTAAACATTGCCGGACATAATTAAGGTATCAGGGTTCTCCTCTATAATTTAACAAGAGCCGCAGAGCGTCTGGGCTCATCTGAGGTCTGTTGCTACGATTATAAACGTAAAATTTCAGTCG